GGAGCACATTACACGCGCGCGCGCGGGGAATACGTCGGCGGTGGCGCGGACGGACGCCCGGGAGGCGGGAGAGGTGCCTGTATAATCTCCTATAATAGTAATAATATTATTCGATTATAACCCCCCCACGGGATCGTGTAAACGATAGGAACACAGTATGTATTTTTTTATTATTATTTTATTTCTGGTTTTTTTTCCGTTCACCCTGTATATATGTTGTGTGTAGTTTTTTTTTTGGAAATTGATTTTGACGGCACCACGCGCATACAACACTATAGATACCGCTATTATGTGTATAGTTTACGACCGCGCGCCACACTATAATATTTATTATATACACGCACAATTGAGTCTCCCGTTTCGCGCCATGCGGTTCTTTTTTTTTGACCGTTTTTTTATTTTATTTTTTGCTCAACACTAGTAGAGAGATCCCATCTCTGTTCGTTCTTTTATATATAAAAATGCTAGATTCTATGTAAGTACGCATGAATTAAAAGGTCGGATGGGTATACTCGGGGCCTCGGGGGGTATTATATTCGGTACCTATATATATTAATATGTTTTGTTAAAGAAATATGCTGAGGTACAAAAAAAAAGATACAAAAACGAGTTCTTGGTGAAATCGATAGTAAATTTTGTTCGATGAATTCTAGAAGGTAGGAGAAAACGACCTTATTTTTTTTTAATAGTACACATAATTTGTATAGCGTGTACATTGTACATACTTCCTATATGATATATTACAACAACATGTTTGACAAATTTTTATGATGTTTAAATAATGAATTCACTTACTACCTACTTATAGTATTATATAATGTGTTCTCTTTTAATAGGTATAAAGAAAAGAAATATTTCCAGACGACGTATTTTATATTCATAATAATTTAAAATTTAATTTAATGGCTTAACGTGAGTTACACATGTATTAAATATTTCATTCTAAATGTTTTACTGCGCAGTCACAACAACAAAAAATATTGTGCCTCACCTCATGTTTATACATAATTTATAAATTTATTTATATATTATATTTATTAACATTTTTCATTTATCGTGTGCAAGGTTTATAAATTAAATTAAAAAGTGTGTAGGCACAATATTTGAAATATTATTAGGTTTAACTTGTAGTTAAAATAACAATGTAGTGAAGTATATTATATATAAGTATATTAATAATCACTGCAAAATAATCGATTTAAAAGAAGTTTTCAACTTGATCGTTGAAATTAGCGGTTTTCTTCCGACACAACATATGCCTAATATATACTTATAACACAACCACACACCGGTCTTCTACGGACAAAGGGATGTGCTAAATCATTGGTTTATTTTACGTCAAAATAATAATTTGACAAAAATACTACGTTCCTTCAACAACAACAATAATAATAATAATAATAATAACAATAAAAGAACCACCCTAGTAGAAAGTGTGTTTGCCGGCACCGCCACCACCTGCCCGGCATCCAGGGACAAGGTGTAAAGTCAAAAGACTAACAAGCCCGACACGTATACACGGGCTATGCTACACACAAGTACACTGCGCGCTGCAGCGGTACACGGGTGGCTGTGCTGCAGCGCGAGTCGGCGGCGGCAGACTATTCATTGTGTGGCCACCGCTTACACATCGAGTTTATACATAACATCTATAGATACGCTGCACGTTTGTGTGCGACGATGGTGTTTGTATGAGCGGCCGCGAGCGCGCGGCGCGTTCAGAATGCCCATTATATCAAATTGCTTGTCAAAATAAACCGCGGCAGGCGCCTGCCGCCGTCCCCACAAAGGACACCAACACCAGCCCCCCCGCCCGGGCGGCTTGCTCGGCAGCCGCTCTTTTAGGGTCCTGGTCGTCGTCGTCGTCGTCATCCGACGGATATGATATAGGTACGCATCACATATACATAATATTAAATATATTAATATTATATTATGTATGATGTGTGTACTCGCTCATCGGGTAGATCATAATCTTGTATGTATACACGTCGTCCGCCACTGCCGCCGCTGCTCACCCCGCGGTGCGTGAGTTCATTATTATTATTATTATTATTATTATTTAAGACAATGCTTTTCGGAATGCAAGCCGCACCGAACAAAATGGCCGCTTGTCGGGTCGGCAATTGGGTATATTAAGCGTGGGCGGGGTGGTGGTGGGGCCGGGCAGAGGGAAATACCAACGCGCACCGTAACGCATTCACCAAGTCGACTGCGGCGGCGACAGCGAATTCGGTTTTTCCCCTTCCCCGACGTTTCCGCCGTCGTCGTATTATTTTCATTCTCGTTTTCTATAATATAATATTAATACAATATATGTAATAATACGAACCGCTCTCGTATTATATTGTACATAAAGTATGATTGTATATACCTTCCTAATGTGATATATATCGCCGCTTGTACCTATATAATACATAATATTACATACAGCCCCGTCGTTGTGCGCGCGCCCAACGCTGCGGCGAGGCGGACACGACATTCTTGGTTTTCTCTCTGCCGCTTTTGACCTCGCCGCCGCCGCCGCCGCAGTACCAACACCACATACACGTTTCGCCCGCGGTGATCACCGGGCCCCGCCCAACGGTGCCACCTCGGCACCCCCGTGCAGCGCCGGTGTCTCATCTTTTGTTTTCCGTGTGCCGTGTGTTGTTTGCCTCACCGCCTTGCAGTAACGTCCACGGCCGGCGTATTAGATGCTACGTCGTTAGGTGGAAGCGCATCTGCAGGAACCGTTGGGCGCTGACGGGCGAAAGTCGAGCGCTTATGACGGCGGTTGAGGCGTTGGACCCCTAGCGGACGGTGAACCGCGGGTACATTGTGGGATCCTTCGATGCGATATCGATGTCGGGTTTTTGTGTGTTATGCTTCCGCGGTGTTAAGCGAGGCGACGATCTATATCGACAACGTCGGCCCTCTGCCACGTCATCGGTATATCCGTATACCTAATATTATATATTTTATTTAGGCTGAAACAGCTGCTTCACATATTTTTTAACCGGTGGTAGTCACCACATCGGTACTCTTACGACGTACCTTACCATGTTGGAGTTGTGTTTTTACCTATTTTTACAGTTTTATTCAACAGATTAAATCAACGTACATATTACATTCTAATCTTGCGTATGCACGTTAATATTAATTAGGTACCTCAATACCTCATGGTACCTACCTATTTAATGATACCCTATAAATACCTATATATATAGCTAGCCGGCTAGGTATACTTATAGCCATCTAACCATAACCATATGATATGCAATAACGAATAACTATAATAATCAAGTTAAAGTGCGTCACTTATGGTTTATGACTTCTTTTTAATTTCACCCCCTCGTATGTGTATACTCCGATACTCGTACTTACTGTGAATGATTGAATATATTCCAAATATAAAAATATTTATATTACTGAAACCAAGCATTTATCAAACAAATTATTTTTTATGGTTTTTAATTTTAACCTACTTCGACGGTACAATTATAAATTGTAATATTGGTGCATCTCGAAAACAATAAAAACCAACAAAGTATTTTCGTAATTATATCAAAAGTTGTTTCTTTTGAATTTTGCAATGTACCTATAGAGTGTAGACCTTTCAGATCTTTGTAATTGAAAATCGCAATATTTTCAATTCGAACATAATATATATGGGGGACGAGGTGGCCGAGCGGTCCAACGCGTCGTCTGCGGCGCTGGCAGTCGCGGGTTCGATTCCCGGCCACTGGGCGGCATTTTTCTCCGGGCAAGTCACGGTGTCCGGAAAACAAGTGCCGCCATCCCCCACTCCGGGGCATGGCAGAAACCTACGGGTGCCCCATTCAAAATTCTGCCAAAATACACCCACGTGTAACACCCCCTACCGTTAAATAACCTACAGTACCAACCCCTCTCCCAATGGCCTAAGTTGCCGCGGGATAAAATTAATAAAAAAAAAAAAAAAAAAAAAAAAAAAAAAAAATATATATATATTGTTGTATTATATATACGTACGTTAATAATAATATACACCTATCATAATGTTATAGTTATTCGTTATCGGACGACAGAAATCGATTAAAAAAAAAAAATTACAGTAATAAGCAAATTTAACGTAAACAAAATCATTGTTCAAGCGTTAAAAAAATATACTTATTCATGACTTGTATGTTTTACGAATTTAGATCTGTTGTTATACAGCGTATTAGTGTACCATAAATCTTGTCTATGTGGTACATTTCGGTATAGGAGAATAAAAAAACATAAGCTTGTACAATAATATTATTATAAACAATCCAATATATACACGCGGAGAATTCTCGGTAAACGGTTACGAGCAAATAACGAGTGCAATTTTTCATGCGGCCGCTGAGCTGCTGGCGGGCTAATTTGTCGTTAGTTATCTTAAATAACGATTCCTAGAAGATCCGGACGTGTGCATAAGTTATATCGGTTGCGAGCGCTTTAATAACAGGAATAGTCGTCCAATAACTAACTCGCGCGCATAATTCCGTTTAACAGGTTGCCGGAAAGTAGCGACGAGTCGCCGTCGTCGTCATTAAGAAACGAAAAAAAAAAACTAGTCGTTGGCGATTGTTACGCCGCGGTGTGAAAATGGTGTATAATATATTATATACCGAATAACATTATATGTATATAATGTACACGGTACTTAGTCAAAAAACCTGCCTCTATATAATATATACCTCATACATTCTTGTGGGAAATTACGACACGCGGCGCTGCATTTTCGGTTGTAACATTATATTATATAATGTGACCGTTATTGTTTTTCTCGTATTTTTCGAGTTAAATTCTCCGCTCAAACGTGGGTACATTTAAATGTCAGAATGACCTACACTCTTAAAATTCATTTTTTAAGGATTTCCCCCGACTTTTGAGGGTTATATTATAATATAATATAATATCTATGTGTAGGAAATAGTAATATTATGTAATATCGTAATGCACTAACCCATTGACACGTCATTCTTATATGTTACTTCGTTTTGTTTGTATAGAGGTGTAAAGAGAAGCTCAATACCTTAGCCATCAGCGTGATGAACTTATGGCCGAACGTTCGACTGCGTGTGATCGACGGTTGGGTGGACCGAGCCGGCAGCAGCCTGCACAACGAGGGGCGGGCGGTGGACATCACCACGTCAGACAGGGATAAGTCCAAGTATGGCATGTTGGCCCGACTGGCCGTCGAAGCAGGATTCGATTGGGTCAACTACAATCGTCGGTACATTCACTGCTCTTGTAAATCAGGTGAGTCCAGGATACAATATGGTTGAAATAGAAATAATATGTTTACGTATATCTATAGGCAACTAACGTTTTGTAATTTGTTGATGCACTGCTGCACATTTTGTATATATATTATACCTGTAACCATAAGCATAATTTTCGACTCAAAAATACATTACAACTTAAAATTCGTTTTTAATTAATAGTAGATATAGCTTATTAGCGTTTATTTGGCCGACTATAGGAACCTAATATATAATAATAAATGCAAGTTGCAACCAATAGTATAGCATATATCTATAGGTTATCGTTTCTCATTTCATTAGCTATCACATATTTATGCTATATTAAACATTAAAATTATAAATTTAGTAATTATATGGTATAAGTGACTTCCCCCTCCTGTTTACCAAAAATCATCCCATTTACTTATTGTATCACTTGTAAATACAGATTGTAAATATATTATGTTTGTTCAATAAAAAAAAAAAAAAAGTACATCGTAAAATGACAGGGCCGGCCTAAGAGGGGGGAGGTGTGCCCCGACACCAGGCCCCGCGCTTTGCAACTTTACCTTATCAAAATTACTTGAGCAACAATAATATTTTAAAGTTTATAAATGTATTGATGGTAATTACTATGTGCCAATAGCCGAATCGTGTGCCAATAGCCATTTTATATATTTTGTTAAATGTTCAGGAAGAGAGCTCTTTCATAAAAAAAATTATTTCTCACCAGGCCCCGCAAATCCTTGAGCCGGCACTGTAGAATGACAATAGCTACTAATTATTTATTACTATATGTTTCTGCATGTTTCATATATTCTGACTTCATAAATCATTTAATCATCTATTATCTACGTATAATTATCATACGTTATAATTAATATGCTCACCTAATAGATCGTATTCAAATTTCAAAAGCTCGCACTAATATTATATAGTGATAGGTACTGTGACACTGTGTATACTGTAAATTGTGATTGTGGTAGACGGTATAGTGTTTGTCACAAATAATAAAGATACATACATAATAATAAGTTGCATTATAGTAAATAATAATACGTAATATGAGCCATTAGGCATGAGCGTTGTCCTGTTTCTAAATTGTGGACTGTCTTTTACTAAGAATTACCTATTAAAAATTACAAAACATAGTTATTACAGTCAAAAGTTTGCATTTACATGTTTATCTTATACATAAATTATGAGTTTCAAAATCTAAAGTTTTTATCAAAATTTACTTAGCTAATTTTTCATGTACAATATTAATATAGAAAATATTTTTCTTACATAATATAAAATCATTAATATCCAATATTTTTGAAAACAAATGATTGTTTCCCTATTTTACCGTTATATTTCTTTTTGTTTTTACTTTTTTGAATGACAACGTACATTTTTAATTTTATATTCCAAAGCTGAATATTTTTCTAAGTACATATTTTGAATCATAGAAATCATATTTCAAACTGGTATATAGCAACATAGCGTTAATTCAACAGGCGGTGTAGTGGATCTTAAAAATTAAGTGAACTTGAATGAAAATACGTTTTTTTTTGTTACCGATAACTACAAATAATGTAAAAAATATTTTCAGATAAGTTAATATTTTTTTTATCTGATGAGTGTTTACTGTTAAAATATCATCCAGTACCTAATACATTTAATTACATTTATTAGTACATCAATTATATAGATGACGATTTTTAGATATATGTAAATGTTCAAATATGTAACGCGTTTTGGATCTTTTTTAAATATATTTTCATTTCACACATTATTTTCAACTTCAGAGACTACCTATATTGGTCTTTTGAACATTTTCATAAGAATACCTCGATCTACACAGGGGAAAAAAACACTCCAACATTATAATAAGACACCGTATTATAATATGTGTGTGGGATGAGAAAAACATTATGTACACATTTGAAATAATTTTTTTTCCGTTCACTCGATATAAATACATAATATACAAATATAGGTATACACGTAGCTGAGAGGTATCTCCGACGACTATAATATAATATGCAGTCATTTAGCCCGGGTAGTTTGTTTAGCCGAATTTCTAAACGAGCGTGTGAGAAAACCAAACGTCGTGTCGTAAACGCGGAACACGTATAATAATAATATATATGATGTATTGTAGTATATACATAAGTACATATTATATATAATATCGGTATGCGTATATACGAGTGCGCGCGCGCCGGGTGACCGTGTGAACGACACAACTGCCGCGATGATGACGGCGGCGGTATTGTATACCTATATAAAATCCGTACAAACAAAAAATAAACCAGCCGCCGCGTCCGTCTGGCAAAGGGACTTTCCGGTAAAATCGTCTCGTTTAGGAGGTTCGAAAAGAGATAGAAAAATGTTTGCGCCGAGCAAACAGTAAATATAAAACGTTTTGTGAGCGACGGCCGACGACTAGTGTATTTATGTATATAATATATTAATATATATATATATATATGTGTACTGCACGAGCGTTCGTGTTAAAATATTCGGAAATTATTATTGTTTCCGACCGTACATCGTCACTGGTACCTGTATAGACATAATAATAATAATAATAATAATAAAAATAATAATAATACCCGTGTACGTATAATATATACACACTCGTCTTAGTGGTCGATCGGTCAACAAGTCTCCGTGTCCGTCCGTGTCCGTCCGTGTCCGTCTCTCATCACGCGTTGTATTATTTTCCGTTGGTCCGACAAAAGGGCCGCATATCGTTTTCACGCCGCAGCGGCGCGGACGGGTCTCATTAATTATCGCTTGCCGCGCGTACACCTCGGCTATCCATCATGCGCATTGCACACGCACACTTGTCTCCGGCGGCGGAGTGACGATGACGAGACGACGGAAAACAGGACGTCCGGTTCGCTATATTATATAATTATTATTATACATATAATATAACATGTCTGATGTTTACGAAATTGCCAGAAAAGCAAATGTACCATTTCTAAATCATATTAGGTAGGTATATCATGTATCAGTGACCAGTGTATCACCTATAGTCGAAGAGTGAGGAGAAAGAAGACAATACTACATATATACTACATTACTACATACATTATGCTTGTAGGTTTTGTAAACTTAAAACCAAAAATGTGTAGGTACTTATCCGTCTATTTTACAAAGATTTTTGGTGGAGATTTTAAGTGTTAGGGAGGTCATAGCTGCCTTCTAAACTATCTTCCAGAGAACCGCTGACGTGGCTAAAGAAAATTGGCAACGTCGGCATTCTATGTACCTATATATCTAGCCAATAAGTATATAATATTACGAATAATTGTGTACATTTCGAAAAATGCGTGTGATCGCGTTATTTTTCATCGTTTGTATTATGTATTTAGTTAAATACGTCCAAATATAGTAAATCATAACATTTGATTTGTTATTGGCACCGTTGTTTTAAAACGATATCACATTTCTTAATTACAAGGTCGTGTTTAATAATGATGATGTCTGATAACGTTGTACAAAAACTTATTTGCATATATATAAACAACACGATTTAAAAAAATGGTTTATAGTTATAAAAACAATTAGTATACCTTCCTAAATAAAACTATAGTACTAAACGTGTTACGATACGTGGACGCATACTACGCGTATATAATATACCATTAGAATATTATTTACGTGTAACTGTGCAAGTAAGTACTGCAATGTGTCGGTAGTAAACGTTATCGCAAATCGCATAAAGCGGTTCCCGCACACGATTTGATTATTTTTAAATTAAAAAAAAATTAGTAATTGAATAACAAAGTGCCGATAATTATAATAAACGGCGTGGTTTCGCGAACCCAATTAAACAAGGAGCTAGTTTATTGTTGCCTATTGCGTTTTACATCATTGGCCTAACGGATCTGCTATAATTTAATCGGATATTCATTACATTTAACCTCACAGAAAAACGTATTAAAAAAAACATTGGAGCGGCGTACGTTCGTTAATAAGCCGTAGGTTCTCGGATTATATAGGTAAAATTAAAATCTGTGCATGATTTTTCTTTCATGAAATCCCAACAATTGTAATTCAAGTGATTTAAAAAAATTTAATAATTTCTTTAAACTGTTTGGGTAACCAATCTACATGTATTTGAAAAATGTACGTTCAAAATTCAAATAAACATTGGTGAACATTTAAGAAGAATAAAAAAATATTCTTTTATAGTTATTTATACTCATATTAATTTAATAATAATAAAAGGTATAGGTACCGCTTTTGGTTACTAATATTTGAAGATTTTAAAGGATATTATAGCAGTCTCGTAGCGTCACAACAAGTCATTACAATAAATAAACTACCCTGTAAAAACTATAACACATATATTATGTTGTATATTGTACAAATATACGACTGAATTTCTAATTTTTATGTTAATATAAAAATATATATATATATACGCATATGATTATATACGTGTATGAGTATATAAGTAGGTAGGTACCTACACTTAAAGATTCAATTGTTCATATAATTATATATTTATCATGGTTTTACATGACAACAATGACATAATAGTAGCCACCCTTAATTGTCTTAATTTATAACGACAAACGTGAAAAATGTTCTTCGAAATAGGAGGAACCTCCGAATTAGTGTTTTGATGTCATGTTAAAGTGTTAAACAATAGAACTTGTACCTACGTACCATGTCTGTCTATAGAAGTGTACATACAGTTAGTTGGTGATCGACAAATTTATAACAGTTTACACATAAGCATTAAAAATAAGTCAGTAGGCACAACAAACTAGTTACAAAAAAACCTAGTTTTGTAACTATTCTATTCTAATCGTCTAAGGCTTAAACTCAAAGCTGCAGTATAGGGATTAAAAAGTAAAAATAAATTTCCATATTACCTATTTAAAAAGAGATATTTTTTAGTATATATAAAAAAAAACAACAGGGAAATCGCTTTGCTGTACCTACAGTTGATGTCGAGTTTTTGACTTCGAGCCTAGACATTGAGTAGGTACTTATTGTAAGTCATTACTA